AGCCGATACTTTCCTACCAATTTTCTTAATGGTTTTTTTTCTCAATTCTATTTCACTTCCTTTTGTTTCTCAATATCCTTCGTTTTTGCCCAATTTTCCGTTTTTTTTCCCAATTTTTCAATTTTCCTCAATTTTCGTGGTAATTGAAATTTTCTCATTTTTCATAATTTTCTAGATCATTGAATGAAGGAAACAATCACAGTTCAGTCATTTACCCACAAAAATTCAAAAATCCCAAAAATTGGCCCAAAATGAGCTGTTTTCTCTCGAAAATTGTTCGAACATGCAATTAAACATTACAAAAATTATAAAATTAATTTTTTTTTTCGATTAATTACCACGAAAATTTGAGCAAAAACGATGAAAAACGAAGGAAAACGGAGAAAATCCCAAAAAAAATTGGCAGCGATGACGTCATCAGTCATCATGACCGTTTTTTTTGTAAATTTTTTTTGTAGTGTTCGAACTGGAAAAATTTAAATTTTTGTCTATAAATCGCTGGAATAATCAAAACAATTATTTTCCGAAATTTTCGAAAAATCGATTTTCAGCTAAAAAATGACCAAACTCCCAGCCACGGATCCATTTGAGCTAGCATTTGCTGAGACTGACAAAACAGATGCAATTCTAGTAGTTGAGGGAAAGAAATTGCATGTTAATAAAGCGGTAAGTGGTTTGGCGGGAATTTGAAAATTTCAAAAAAATTTCCAAAAATCGATAAATCCCCAAAAGTTTGCAGCTCCTCTCCATTCACTCCGACTACTTCAACACCCTGTTCAACTCGGAATTCAAGGAAAAATCAATGTCGGAAATCGAAATTAAGGATGTGGAATTTGAAGATTTTGTCACATTGCTCAGCCTTATCATGCCAGAAACAATGCCACTGACAAGTAATCAGAAAAACTAGAATTCTTGAAAATCGTTCAAAATTTTCAGTTCAAAAAGGCGAGAAACTTCTGGAACTATCCGATCGATTTCTCATTCCAGCTGCCAAACGCCACGTGGAACTTTTCATTGCTCAGTCGGATATGGATAAGGAGAAGAAGCTGATATTGGCTGATAAATTCGATTCGGAGATTTTGAGAAACAATGCACTGGCAGAGTACAAAGAAAGACATTTTTACAATAATATTGGCAATGTTGGAAAGAATTTCTCCCAGACTACTAAAAATGCCATCTTTGATGTCTTTTTTCAGAAATTCCAACATAAACTTTGATCTCTTCTGTTGTGTTTTTGAATAAACTGTTATTTTTACTCTTTTTTCAGCACTGTTCTCATGAGTTTTCTTTCAAATTTTATAGGTTATTCTTCAAATTTCTTTAAAATCTGATAAAAATGAGATGAAATTGCTTATTTTCATCGAAAGTCGCAATAAAAATCGGCAATTGTCGTCAAATTCGGTGTAAAACTACGGAGG